TTTGAATATCGTTTTGTTGCCTAAATTGAGTTTCGAAAATCTGCAAAATCACGAAGTTGAACCCATCTGTCAGGCACTTGGTAATTGAGCCCCGCTGAAAAGGTGAAAACTTTCGCATAATGAGCCGCTGCTGCAGCGCCACAATGAATTATGAAAGTTCGATTCTGGACAATGTGTACGGTTAGCACTCGAATCAAACCATAAATCTTACGCAAATAGCACTCAAAAAGCAATAAGACTATTTCAACGCCATTGTGTGCTAAACAGATTTCAAAAAGGCGATACAAATTCTAGCCATACAGCACAGGACAATGCGTCTGGTTTGTTCTTAGCCCCGTCCCGGTCCCGTCCAGAAATTGCCTCCGATATTGGTAGCCATTTCCATGACAATACCCGGGCTGGACGTGGGCTAATCTATGAGCCAAGATCGCAGGCTGTTCTGCCAGTAAGATGCTGCAAGATGTTCCGTTTTGTGCAGTTTTTGCTGAATCAATTTGTTAGAGAAACAATGACCCCTACTAAGGACAAAAGGCCAAAGGACCTGGAACCGAGAGGCGTGCGACATTAGCAGACAGTTTTGCGGCACTGTGAGGGTGGATTCTGGTACAAATGGACAGCCAACTGAGCGGATAATCGGATTGTCCAGGCTGGCGTTCACCGGCCAAATAGTAATTTGTGGGTTTTTAGGCCAATACAGCTGCCGTAACGAAAGTAACCAGTTGTCAGTATGCAAAAACCGCGGCGACAACTTCTTCTTCTCGTGCCCAGATGCAAGCAGCTCAAGCGAAATGCCAGCGGGTGGCTTATCGCATATCGTTTATCGCTTATCGCCATAATTCCCACTCAACACCCAAGAAAGTTCAAGGAATTCCAAGGATGAGGAAGCACTCTTGAGTTCCCAGACATTGTTTGCGGCAAAAGTGTCACACACACGAGCAACATGCAACATGCAACGTCATCGTTGTCGCGAGCCATTCGAGATGCATCTCAGCTTCGGCAGCTGACCCAACATGCAAAGGAGATAATCACGAGCTGGAACAGCCGGCAGAGGCAACTGTGCCACAGCACTTATCTGATTTGCAGCATCAATAAGTCGTACCTATAGCTGACCAATATGACCAATATGCTGAGGTTGGGCAAGGAGATGAATACAAAACCTAAAGGAGCCAACAAAAGCAGCACAAAATGTTATCAGAGGAGGACGGCTTCCCATTCCAGTTGCACCCTTCTCGTACTCACTCAAACTTGGGAAAGTATCTCGTATCTGTCCCACAGCAATTCAGCTTTGTACATTTGCAAGTGCCACCATCAATTAAAACTAATAGAACAATTAATGAACACAACAAACACAAACCGCAAAGTGCAACCGCAAAGCGAGAACTTAGAAGGAGACAACGAAAAGATGTCGAAGATGAATATTAAATGTGCCCAAGTAGTATTCGAATTTGGAATACACTTTCAAAATAAAATCACACTATAAGTGTAAAAATAAAAATGTACTAAGACTTACAAAATTATGAATAACACATTTTAAAAATTCTAGCTTATCCATATCCCAAAAACCCTTAGGCTATAAAAACTATCCTATTTTATATCACCAAATGTTGGAGGGCCCCAATTATTTGCAATAATTACTAAGAAAGGCAGCCGCAGAAGTGCAATACTTTTGTAAGTTGTAATTCGGAAATATAAGTTATATATTAAGCTACATTCCCCAATTTAAAGGGCATTGTAGGCGCATGCGGAACTGACTTTCAAAGAAGCTAAATAAAAGAGTTTTGTACTGCCTCTTCATCATCAGCATAATATTTTCCATGATCATTATTGTCTTTGGCAATTAAGCGAGATGAATAAGTAAGTGAATGAATGAATGGGTGAATGCATGGGCTGCCAGTTCATAATTTCTCAACTCTAATTCCCAAGAAATTAGAAACGAAAAAAGGGGTGCGGGTGGCGCTTCACCGCTCACCAAAGAAACAGAAGATCGCAGAGGCGAGATTGAACTGGGGGCGTGCCCCGACCGACCACGCCCACCTCCGTGGCAGGCAAAAGTGCACAAACAGTTAAATGCGATCGTCTGCTCCGCGTAATTGCAGTCACAGAAACATGCAATTTAACTCGGCTGGAAACAATTGAATCCATGAATTATGAAATATTTTAAGTCAAGCAAAATGCCACAGTCAAGTGGGGCAGACACCTCCCCTGCTTTTTCATCTTGGGCTAATTAACTAAGTGCCACGCACCTCGGAGTCTCAGCTGAAAAGCTGTAGAGCAAAAACCCATTTTTAGCTTCATGCATTTTTAATTCCTCTAATAGCTTTTGGCTTCTAGCTGCTCCCAGCCAGACATTGATGGACCAGAAAGCAGCCAAAAACCGGCAAAAATTAAAACACCAAAAATGCGTCCTCTGCCGCAGCTGCTGGCCAGATGCAGATTAATTCCCGGCCCCAAAAAAGGCGCCCGAAAAAGTTGTCCTTACCTGGTCGCATCTGCGGGTGAACTAAGCCAACAAAGCGCAATGTGTCCTCCATCAAAATTAATTACCAACGGAGCGGGAGGCAGCCCAGCAGCCGAGCAGCCGAGCAGCAAGGCCAATTGTCAGTTGTGCTGAGCTCAAAAGTTAAAAGGGGGCGACGGCGATTCAGCCACCTCCTATCAGCCACCACCCACGAACCACCACCCACTGCAAGCACCCCGCCCACTGGGGCCCATCAGTCAACACTTGCTCAACAGTCTAAAATGATAAATGGCCATCCCCTTGGTCAAAATCACTTGGCTCTAAGAGAAATTTCAAGCTGAGTCAGCAAAGTGTTGCATACTTTTGGGCGCGTCTTACTCACGACCCATTTCGTTTGATACTGAAGGAATCTTCATAAGAGCTAACTGGATTGAAGGGAAGGTATTTATAAGAACTAACTGGATTGAAAGGAGGCTATATAGAAAAGCGACAGAAACATAAAATAAAATAACGAAGATTTCGCATCTTTTCTAATGAGTGCAATGAATAAGCATTAGGTTGCATTATCCGCAAATCAGGTTATACAGCCTCGACTTTCGGAATGCGAATATTTCGTTTTATCAATTTACTTTCGGCCAAACAATAGACCTATAATGCAACTGAAACGCGTCAATCATGAAAGAAGAAAAGGAGTATTCCATGGCTGGAGCTTATGTGTGATTTACTGGCTAAAAACATGCCTTTCACCCGCGAGTAAAGGCCAAATTAATTAACCACCAGGCAGACGCATTGTGTGTTGCCGCCGCGGATCACTTTGTTGGTTTTTAATTAAGGAGTTGAATGAGAATCAAAAATTGAAGTGATTTATGCCGACGATAAATGCGTAACGAAAATTGTCAGTGCTTTAATTATAAACAAATAGGAGGGCAATGAAGCCGCAGCTAGCATAAGCAAATAATTAAAACCAGACAAAGTTCTGAAGTCACTGGAGGGTCGATTTTTATTCAAACGAATTTGTGTAAATATTTACCCCCGACACAACGATGTCAACTAATAGTCTAAGCTGGCGCTTCCTTGGGAAAGTCCTTCAGTACATCGCGCCACTCTTGTTTTCTGTGTTTACCCAAACCGCGAAGCTTTTTCGGTGGTGAAGGAACATTCATGATGTCCTGCCAGCGATAATATCACACATGATTGCTTCTGGGTGGGTTTCAGCCCTCGGTCTGTGTGAGTTTTTAATTAAAAATGTAAAACATTTACTTTTGTCAACAGTTTGGCGGTATCCAAACTCAATACCCACTTGTGGGTGACATTTCCCTTTTAGCTTTCCCTTTTAGCTTAGTTGGCTAACAAGGCCCTTAATCTGTGGGCTGCTTTGAGAAATGATATGTGCTCATATGAAGAAATATGATGCAAAAAGTTGAATCCCATTCGATGCCTCCTGTGAGGATTGAACTCACGACCCCTGGTTTACAAGACCAGTGCTCTGCCACTGAGCTAAAGAGGCTCACATGAACGACTTGAAAGAAAACCAAAATATTAGTTACGTTTCGAGCTCCAGTGGCAAGTTCCAGAAGTCAGAATTCTTAAAGATCTTTTCATCTTATCGGCGCAGTTGCCATATCATAGTTCCCCGATAAAATCTTTTCGAATCTTATCTAGATACGTTTACAAGAGTTCAATCTTCTAATTGCAATTGGTTTCAATGCGGAAAAACGCACCAAGTTTCCATATAACATTTATAACATTTCTCCAGTTTCTGTCAGATGAAACATTTGCTACTGAGTTTGGAATTTAAATTTTCACAACATCTATTATTATGTGGTTTTATTTTTAAGGCGGTAACAAACCAAAACAAGCACCACTTAATCCTTCCAGACGAATGCGCTGAAATTATTTATTATGACGCAAAACTTTTTTCCGGCCGCAGAGCAACGCGTCCGCTTTATCTCCTGTCCAAAAGAGCCAAAGGGTCTCGACTGGCATCCGCCAAAAACGATGCCCCACCAACCCACCAACCCAACCACCCAACCACCCACTTGGGGGGAGATCGAAAAACAAAAGTGGCACTTTTTCCAGTTAAGCCTCGATAAAGAGCTTTAAAAGGTGCACCAGGAGCAGGACAATCGAGCAGGAGCAGGACAATAATCTGAATGCTCAGTTCGCGCAACTTCAAAGGACTCAAAATCTGGTCATGTGGCAAAATCGAATGAAATGGGTAATTTTGCGGGATAATTCCTTTAAGGGGTATGCCAAAAGGGAATCACTTTTAATCGAAAGAAGGTCAGGCTCGGCTCCAAAGTGAAATTTAAATAAATTGGTATATGATGAAGGTTTGATTGCAGCCCTTTTTTAACTTGGTTGCTAAATAAATAAGGTGGTTATACAACCCTAAATAACCGATTCGATTGCAGTCGGCGGCGACTTCTAAATGACATTTGTTTTAAAAGTGGAATTTGAGTCGAGCAACTAACTACTCAAAGGAAAGTGCGCTTTCGTAAAAATTTAAAACTTTAACAGAATCCGATATTAAATCAAGACAATGCCGTTGGACCAAGTTGTAATCACCTACGTGCGCAGCAGCAGCTGGATCAACGTCCTACTGCTCAGATCGATGAACCTCTTCCAACCCGTCCTGGTCGAGAGTCCCAGTGTGTCCGAGTTGATAGAAGTCAGCCCCAATGGGTTTTGCTGGTACGAGCAGAACGTAGAGTACCGCATCATGGTGAACGAGGTCTTTGATATTGGCACCAAGACGAATGGTGGTTCCGTGGTCGAAATGCAAGGCAGTCATGTGTCATTTGGCTTAGTTCTCCGGAGGATTAGGCACCGAGTTTTGGATGAGCTCACCATTAATGTGAAACAGGGGGAGCTGCCATTGCGTATTTCCCCAGACGTTCCCTGTTCCCTGCACTGCAGCAACTGTGCGAATGAAATCATTGGACAAAGACAGTATGATCAGATCCGGGAGGTTCCGATGACGACCATGAAGCCACACAACTACTTTTGTCCCCGCAACGTGTATCCCTCGGAGGAGGAGCTCTATTACGGCCTCAACTATCTGGTCGTATGCTTCGAGGTGCTGGGCAACGGAGTCACCACCACCCGTGGTCGTCGTCGCGTTCTGTGCTCCCGCTGCAAGCAGTGCGTCGGCGAAATCATTGGCAGGGATGTGGGCGTGCAGCTGTACGCAGATACCTTGCGCTTAGTGACCTCGGATTCCGCGCTCGAGTTCAAGGAGATCTTTGGCCATGTGACACCCACCCAGATCATGAAGCGCCTGATGAACGACGCCGATACCTTTGACCTGGAGCAGACTGGCCTCTTCCTCAAGGCGGTGCGTCCAGATGGTCAGCTGCAGCTATTGCATATGCAGATGGACACCAAACAGATGCACATTCTGCGCTCCGAGTTGGATGTATCCGACATTGTGAAACCAAGTGCCGACTTATCCACGGAGGTCGACACCAGCAGCGAGAGTGATATGGACATGAATCTGAGCGATTCAAGCAGCAGCAACTCCTCTGCTCCAGAAACAGGAAATGACAAAATAGCAACTCCACCAAGGCCCACTACCCCCAAGGGAACTCCTCCAAAGACCGTGCAATATGTCCGGATGCGGGGCTTTCGTGGCTGCCGAGTTACGTATCTGTTCTCGGGAAGTGATAGCGATCTGATAGAAAACCACGAGGTCAGCATGACTTGGCGCGAGAGAACCCGCCTATTGCACATCTCCTACACGATGATGGCAGACCTCTTAGGCGAGTTGAATGCCAATGAGAACATGTTGGCCAGTTTGGAGAAGACTTCGCCACCCGTCAAGACATACAATCCACGACACAGCTACATCATATTCGAGCCCGATGAGGAGTTCTATGCTAGGCAGGAGCGATTCGCCAGGATTTCTTAATAGGGATGAAGCTAAACTTACATTTGTACAAAAGAGCCCATTAAAAGCCCATGTTGTTCAAATTAAGATTATTTGCATATCTGTTGCATATTGTTGCATATTTGTTGCTTTTATACCCATTACTCGTTGAGTAAAAGGTTATACTAGATTTAAAAGTATGTAACAGGCAGAAGGAAACGTTTCCGACCATATAAAGATCAGGATCAATAGCCTGGTCGATCTGGCCATATCCGTCTGCCGGTCCCAAAGGTGAAGTTCTAAACTCCATAACTCAACTTATCCTTATCAGATTTTGAAGTGGCATACCTCAAAATGTTTCAGGAGCAATTCTCTAAAAATCTGCATTTAAATTTAGAAATTTATTATTTTTTAATTTTTTTGTCATTTTTCTGATGTATGATATTGTAGAAATTCAATAAAATTAAGAAATGTCCCAAGGCTGAAGCTCTAAACTTCATAACTCAACTTATCTTAATAGGATTTTGACTTGGCATACCTAAAAATATTTCAGGAGCAATTCTCTAAAACTCTGCATTCAAATTTAGAAATTAATTTTTTTTCTTTTTTTTGACATTTTTCTGATGGGATGATGTCGAAATTCCAAAAATTAACGCTCTAACGCCCACAAACCTCAAAAAAATCATATGCCCACAATTTCTACCGATATACCAGAAAATGTTGAAAATTCTCGTTTGCACTTCCACTTGCTGAGTAACGGGTATCTGATAGTCGGGGAACTCGGCTATAGCATTCTATCTTGTTTTATATTTAATTTGTATTTAACTTTGAAATATATTTCCAAACAAAGAAGTTAAGAATTAAGTATTTGAGCTTTAATAATATGAAAGACCCCTTATAGAACCCTTTTATCCTTCGGTCCCAAAAAAATATAATTGCCTAGCTATTGCATTGACGTACTCCATAAAATGCTTGCCCAAATTTAAATGAACCCTCTCCCTTCTGCTAATTCTTCGTCCATATTTTTACAAGTTCCTTAACTGAAGCAGCGAAATTCACAGCATATTTTCTTAATTGTCTTATTGTTGCTAATTAGTACAGATTTAATTGCGGAAACCCTTATAAATTTTCTAGACAACCGATGTGGTTTATGGCTTGCCTCCCCTTTTGCGAAACACTGACCACATCATTAATCGTTGGCTGGTTAACGAAAAACAATTTGTCCAAATAACAATTAAGGCCGGGCGAAACGCCAAACAACAAGTGAAGAACCCTCAAGAAAGGACACTTCCACGCCCACCCAGCAGGAGTAGGCATCAGCAATCAGGAATCAGGATCGGGATCAGAATCAGAACCAGGGGAATCGTTAACAGCATTTGACGGCTGACAGTCGGCTAATGAAAATCCAAGGGAGTAAAACTGTCCAAGGATGTGTCGCAACTTGATTAATGATGGTGCCCATTTTAAGTTTCATTTGAAATTTCTCTTTAATCGGCAAGTATTTTTATAGTGAAATATAAAAATACTTTCGTAACGTATGCATTACCTGTCCATTATCCTACGTGCACTTTGTTGCATTGTTCGAAATGGGTATTCAGCTGTTTTTCTTGCATTTTTGGCTGCCACAACAATGAGTTTCAAATTCGTTGGCAGGTGGATGGAAGGGCCTAATGGTCTGCGCCCCATTGTTGGACAGGCTTTTGTGGTTCTGGATCCATGGAGAGTGCATGCCGCACTTCCTAGAACTTTCTAAATTAAGAAAGTGCATAGAGGTTATCGCAACACTCGTTTAAGGGCGCATTATCCAGCAATTGCCAATAATTAACATAATGAAACCATAAATTGCGCTAGTTGAAGAAAGTCCAATGACACTGCCACTATAATTGCCATGGGTAGAAATGCTTGTGGTGAAAGCATGCGAAATTAATATCAGGGCAACGCCTCATAAATTCATTTTGAAATGCACCCGAAGCCCAAGAAAAGATATATCTTCTGGGGTGGAGTGAAAGAAAGTAAGTAAGTAGATGTCCCCCTAGAAAGCCAGTCCATATGGCCAAACTCGCTCCACTTGTTAATTACCAAGATGTATGCGTGTCGCGCACCACAGACCAATTAACCCCCATTATGGTCAGCTAAGGGACAGCTCTTAACACTCCACATTCGTCGTCCAGGACGAGGTCAAGTTCTGGTCCAAATAGAGGGGGCCGGTAATTAAGATTTCCAAGAGCAGCCAACTCACATCCGTGGCGAGACGCAAAACAAACTCACTGCAGAGGGGCCAAATTGCTTTATGATGTTGCAGATTATGATAATGAACGATGCCATCTGGACTTGCACTTGGTACATTGACCAGGGCTATGTTGACACTTTAAGTGATTTAATGTTATTGTTTTTCCCACTGAAGGCGCCCTTAAACGGGGGCATTGAGGGGGAAATTTCGAGAATAGTATATTTTTTCAATGGCCAGCAGGCTAAACATTATTTAATTATTATTTGAAATTATATCAAAAAGTCATAGTACATTTGCAACTATTTCTCTTTCCAATCGAAGAGTTTCATTAAAATTGATTGTGCCAGACACACTTTGGCTTATCATTTTCGAGCATCGCGTTATTCGAGTATGTGTGTCTGAACATTTTTGCCAGTTTATTGACACAATGGCCAACAAATAAATCCCCAAGCCCGGGCCACTGAGAATGCTGATTGCACATCTCTGTATTTCCCCGACCAACTCCCCCTTTTCAACAGATTTCCTCACCCTGTTTTTTTAAACGAATCGAGAGTGTGAACTGCCATTGAAATGTTTTTGATTGGAAAAAATTTAATTTCCTATACGCTGTACTCTCCTTATCGCGGTTGCATTGTGCTCCAAATTCGACACAAATAAAAAAGTTGGCCATTTTTTTATGCCAACCTCCTGGCAGCGCATTTTAAATTTAAATCAAGTGTTGGCCCACCGGATATCTAAACTGTTTTCTCTCACCGCATATGTTGTACACAAAACCTCAAACCACAATTAATCAAGGCAAACGCTCTTGACAGCAAATTCATTGACAGTTCGTTTTTCTTCTTTTTTTTCTAGTCCTCCGGTAAAAGTTTCACATTGGCAGTGCAGAGCTTCAATTACGATTTTTCGATTTGCTGTGCGCAAAAGAGGATTTCCATTGCCAATGAACGAAGGAGGGAGGTGTTCATTAAACGCTCTGCTTATAGACAAACCGAGCCATCTTTTTTCCTCTATTTTGGCCAGCATTCGAACACATTCGTTTCACTCGTTCGCCGGCGATCCTTTGTCCCAGGAACAATGGTGGAACCGCAATGTTGAGCCGGCGCAGAAGAGTGAAATTCATTTTTTCCATTAAATCGAGTCGCTGATTGTGCATGAAGCACTGTGGGGAGGCGCAAATGTCAGGGCTCTTTGGCTAGATGGGGGCGCTACGATACCTGGATAGGTTGCCCCTGTCAAGGGGTACGACGCAGTCGAGTCAGCGCCAAAGCGCCACCTTTACCCCGGCAAATCGCATCGACATTCGAGTCTCTGGGGAACTGTATGCCCTTAACCCGGAGGACGGATGCTCTTACTTTGGTGGCACAAAAGATTATACTTATGAAAATTGCTATAGGATGGATGGCATATATACTAAAAGTGTTTTGAACCATTTTAAAAATTTATTTTAATTCAGTTGTTTGAACAGAAAACAAGTTCTTTGCTGCCTAATTTAATATAATTTAAAAAAAAACTATTAGAATATAGAATATAAAGAATATAAATAGAATATAAATTAGAAAAATTCCTACTAGCGCCTATTTCCAAATGTTGTAGTGAGAAAAGCCAAAGAGTATTCCCACTTCGCCTTTTGTCTCAAGTCTGTGGGCCATCCCGAAAACTTTTTTCGCTCGAAATTCGATACACTTGCAAATGGCTTTTTGACAAACAATGACATGGACCGAATCACCTACAATTGCGGAGACATTTCTTTGGTTACCTTTTTTCTTTATCTCAACTCGCTTTTGTGAGTGGAGTATTCCCCTCGACGACCAGCGCATTTGCAAATGAATTGCTTATTGACAGTTTGATGGAATGATTCCCCTGGCTGCCAATTGTCGATTTGGTAGACTTTTGTTATTCTTTAATTAAACGGTTTGTTCGGCAGAGAAAAAAACCAAAATGCACAACTGAAAGGGATTAATTTTGCGGTGAATGAGCTGCGGCCAGATTTGTATCTTAACACAGACGAATCGGGAAAGTGCAGTGCACAATTTATGTAGCACTTTTGGCACTTTTAGTTTGCATAATACCTTAATAATATTCTGTTTTTCAGAATGGCCATCAAAACCCATTTGTCGCGAAAGTCACTTCCGGCTGATTGCGTTTTGCAGGACACTCGAAATGCCATGCGACATTTCCCCTATCATTTGTGTGCCACTAATTGAAGTCGCCTCCAGCAATTACCAACTTGCAGGCTGCTCACGTATGCAAAATCCATTAAATCACTTAAAACGAGCAGAAGAGCACATTTGAAAGCACTTCCATGGCGAATGACACATAATATGACTACAAAACAGTTGCCGCGGAGATGTGCAGGAGTCGGGAAATTCGCAGGACACGCACTCAAAAGCTGGGACCTCCCCTTTCGATGTCGATGATAATGTAACAACACTCAACCTCTTGGAAAAATGAAAAAAAACAAGGAACAAAAAATGGAATGAAAAGTAGAGTGGGGGTTTTTCGAACAGCAAAAGGGTTGGTCCGGACTTAAGGGTTTGGAGAGGGAGCCACAAATGAAATTGTCACAGCCACAAATTTAATTACATCAGCTGGAAAGAGGCATCAGATGTGTGGCAGAACTTAAAGCTGCCCATAAATCCAGGTGACTCCCCCAAATGTCATCCCCATCAGCAAATAACTACCCCGTGTGTGTAACAGCTCATCAACTGTCAAAATTGAAATTCCAAAAAATGTCACAAAATTTGACATGTACGAAAAAGAAGTCCCGATAATTCATATATCGTACGTATGCATGCTGAAATATGTCAAGCATGAAGCACTGATAAGCTAGAAATAGGATTGGATGGGATTCC